AGGGCAAAAACACAACAAACAAACGTATTCACTGAATACGAGGTTTTTATTTTGGTCCACTCTCATTTGTTTGTGTATTTTTTTTCCACAACTTAATTTTTTTTTTAATTTTTTGGTAAAAAATTCGAATAAGAATTTCACTTTCATCGTTGTCTTTTGACGATGTCTGTGTCTTGTAAAAATATATCATAGTATTTATAGTGTCTCGTTCGAATAATAAAAAATCGACCATCTTATAATCTTTAAGATGAATGGCTTTGTGTTTATTTTTCTAGTCGCCCGACTAAATTATTCTAGAAGCTTATAGATTATTCGAGATGTCCTCGTTTTAGTAATCCAATAAGCTTGTTTGTATAGTAGATGTGTTCAACTACTAATTGTGAACTCGAAATTCATAAATTCCTTGGTTAATCAAAATACGTTCGAGGTTTCTAAGTCCGAGAAATATCGTTGGGTCATCCTTTGCTTCTTCGAATTTTTTTTAAGCTCATTTTGGCAAACAATTATTTGGCAAATAAATAGTGTAACCGAAATTCTTCTTTATTGGTTGATCAACATTTCGGCCAAATTAGTATTTGATCATGTGCATTTGCACATATATAAAACACGTTTTTATTTGTATTTATTAATCAGACATAGACATGGCCACAGGTCAACCGGCCCGCCGACCCGGCACGGACCCAGCTCGGACCCGGCCCGGTCAAACCCGTTGACCACGAATCCAGACCCGGCTCGAATTTCATCCGGGTCAATCCCGGGTCGGGATTTTTTGGACCATGACCCGCCAGGCCGGGTCAGGGTCGACACGAAAAAAATGTACGGTTTTTGAAATTTTCTTTTTTTTTTATTGGGACGGGTCCAAACCCAACCCTTCGGCCCGGATTTTGGCCATGTCTAATTAGACATATACTTCTATCATATAAAAATTATTTTTTTAAGGTATTTTTATCATTCAAAATTAATTGAGATTTAAGTTTTATTTTAACCATGCAACGTTTACATTAGTAACATGAATAAAATAATATATTTGTGGCATATATTAAGAAAATTAACATAAATAAAAACAATTGGTGTTTCTGATTTTTTTTTAAAAAAAAATATGTGCAATCATATTTTTCTTCCAACAATGCAATCAAACTAGTTTTTTACCCGTGCATTTGCACGGAATGATATATGACAAAGGACAAAATAAAAATAAAAACAATAGTAAAAATAATACCATGG